AAAAATGAATATCATCAACGAAGAAAAGTTAATAATTATGTTTCAACTTTGTAGATCATTTCTGGCAACTGGAGACAACATAAGAGTCGTAATGATAAATTTTCCTTTCTCAAACTCCTTACTTTACTCTTTGTTGTAGTGCAAAATCGAATTCTGCTGCTCGAACAAAAAGTAACAGACAGTTAGTCACTGGGAAAACATTATATTGCTACTTTTTCATTTCCCCAAAAAATGTCTCCGAATGAATCTCTTTCCTCACGTTATATCAGCGATTATAAATCACATTGACAAATGAGCCTTGACAACACATTGAAAACCGTCAACCAAAAACAAAATGAGAAAAGCACATCAAGTTCTTTCAACTTTCATAGGTTAAGCTGTACAGTAGTTTTTTTTTTGCTTTGAACACACAGAAAGTCGTAAAGGTCATTATAAAATTTGACCTAGAAGGATTCAGATTGTGTAGTTTCGGACTCGTGAGGCTCGACCATATGACGTACTATATGATTCAGTCTCCCTCATGAGGATGAATTTTACTAAACTTAAAATAGTTGAATAGTTTTTAAACGAAAATTTGTCAAAATCAGTCTGCTATGTGCAATGTTGTGAAATTTTTAATTGTTTAAATAGAAAAAGATTTCTTGCTAGTAAGTTCACTCATGTTGGTTTTGAATTCTTTTGTCAACAGACGGTCTTGCTTATCTGCTCATCAATAGTTTCAAACTTTTATATAAGAAAACTTTGTACTAACCGAAATTAAAATTTATTATGCGAAGCTTTGAAAACGCTGAAATTTAACAGTACGAAATATCTTAACAGCAATATTAAGACCACGTTGTTGCAGCAGTCTTTATTTTCTGTTTTTACTCAACTAACAATAAACTCTCTTCCTTCTTCTTGAAATATCAACTCCAAATTGATAGTTCCGATGTCCATAACAGTTTTGGGTTGTTTTGCGTTCGTAACGTACTTACTGGGAAGAGCGAAGGTAACTTTACGGCTTCCAGGCTGCAACACAAACAGATTAATAGTAAAAGTCTCAAGCACAGTGTTGTTTGAAGAACACCACTTACTTTAGCTACCCCTCCAACTTGTGTGACATCATTACAGTCGTGGTAAATTTTCAGCACAGGATCTATCTGGGTTGTTTCTGTGGTTCCACCAGACAATTGAAATTTGCCCTGGGCATCTGTGTAACCCTGGTTGAGCATATCATCTGGATCAGGTCCTAAATGTGCAATTAACGTTAGCTCCTACTCTTACGGAATTTACATGAAACTAGAAATTAGATTAGAATTCTGTGCTAAAGACCCCTTCCAAATTATCTTTTGGCATTTTCCAGGGCAGGCTTGGAACAATTATATATTTTCGAGGATAATAAGCAAAGGGCGATAGATTTGAAGGCTCATATGTGCATTCCAGATCTAGAGCCAAAATCATAAAGGCGACTAGGTTAAATCAGTTTGAAAGGTTGTTACGATTTATAGGAACGGGATTATGATGCAACATTGTGCTGGCCACACACATCGTAATAAAAAGCATATCATGCTTTGCTCTAAACGAATTCTTCTAGTATTAACTTTGTCATTTTATCAATATTCTATCATCAACTAAATTTTCAATTCACTTCCGTTATCGAAAATCTGGTCAAAATAATGACAGTTCGCGTGCAACATACCGTATGGTTATGTTCTTCGAAACTTTAATCATTCCAATGTCTCAGGGCAACATAGTAGTCCTCTCATTTCTTAATATCTCCTCTTATAGCAGACTTCGCACTTACTTTATTAATGCGAGCGTTTACACGTTTTTGAATTTCTTGCGAATTCAGTGAAAGCCAGCGCTTAACAAAACGACATGATTCAAGCTGGAACTTCAAGCGAGAACTATGTCTTCGACTAGGAGTTGCATTCAGCGACCGTGCGCAAGAGTTGTGCACATTAGAGCAGTTAGGATGGAACGTACACACCAAACAGACTGGAGTAAGGTTAGAGGAGTTTCTGTTTGACCATGATTTTCCGACCCAATTACCTGACTTTCATAACTGTCCTTCTTCTCCCCAAAAAAACAATCTGTGCAAGATGTATGGATGAATTGTAGTAAAGCAGAGATGGTCTGCAACTAACTCCTCCAGTCTGCTTCAAGTCTCCTTAACAAAGTCGAGATGCTTAGCTCTGCGAAGGATAGACTCTGAGCACTTATGTTCTCTTAGACATTTTAAAACTTATTCTCAGGATTCACACATAGCACGAGTCAAGTAATGGAGCTGAGTAGCTCACGATCCGTGCTGAGCTGACAAGAACTGTTGTCTAGATTATACGTCATTTTTGCCAGGTATGGGCCTTCACTAAACTGCTGCAAGATTCAGAAAAGCCTGTAAAGGCAAAGTGTTTGGGTAATCTCTACCGATAGGGGATTTGTGGCAAGACAAGGACAAACCATTTCTCCTTCAAAAAGTAGAAACGCTTTCTCCAAGCATGGCAAAGTCTAAAAATGCAGGATGTCTTTCAAAAACCGCAGTTGTATTGTTGCAAAGAAATATCGGGAGCCAAAACAAGCAATGGACCTGAGAAATAAAAGTGCTTTTATCATTGTAACTTTCTGTAACGCATTTTCTGAACTTTTTTCCTAATCTTTTGCGATTGTAAAACTGTATCAAAAACTGCTGTAGTATATGATGATATGTTCTAAATACGCCGAATTCCAATTTCCGCTTACAACGAAGTAAGATACGTTATATTTCGAGTGCATTTATTATCATGATCAGCAGTGTATGATGAAATCCATGTTTCAACACCTTCTTCACCTACCCTTCTCAAGATCCAGCAAAAATCTATGCTTTATTCCTATGAGATGCATGTATATTGCCAAAGTTTTCAAATGTAATCCAAGGAGAAAGTGCTCAGATAAGTTATTCTCTGTTTTCCACTATCAAGCTTTCAGTACAAATCTATGATCAATCAAATTATATGCTGACTCGGGATTTAATATTGATATTTTTGCTATATGATTGATACACTTCTTCCTTGATCACTAATGTAGGCCATATTTGGAGAAGAAGACAACTTGGCATAACAGAAAAAAACCCAAAGAAGCGACGCCTTCATCACAACTGCATTCGCGTCGACTACCACTCGCGTGGGGATAGAGTGATTTTGAGGTGTTTGGCAAAATTATGTTATGAGCTGGCTCCCGCTGCGCTCTTGGAGAAACACTTAATGATTTGGCATGTTGACTTTAGGGTTAGCTTCGGTCATAATGAATAGTTCGAATTGCTCGGTGGATGGTGTTTGATGGGCTAATACATGCGATAAAAAATGAATGATTCACTTTCAAACCTATAAAGAAAGTGCTGCGAACGGAATTCTTTTAAAAAATGTTTAACATCCTGTAACGAC